TAAACCCCCACACCCCTAAACCCCTAAGGCCTAAACTCCCGAAGTTGCTCCTCGAAGGCCTTGGCTGCCCGAGTGCGGGGTCTGCTTCTGCACCTGGAGCGCACCGCCAGTGGCCCAGGGGTTTAGGATTTAGGGCTTTAGGGGTTTAGGATTTAGGGGTTTTGGGTTTAGGATTAAGGGGTTTAGGGTTTAGGGTGGGGTTTACTGTCCGGGGTTTATAGGGTTTAGGGTGAGACTCCAATATCCCTGAATTGAGGAATTTAGTAGGGTCCCTAGAGTCCCCAATATGAGTTAAGGTATATTCCTTATTTAAGGGATATTGGAGACTCTGGACAACCTACCTTATTAACTGACACAAAGGAGGCTAAATAAGGAACCCTAAAAGGCAGGTTAGTCAGGGGTCCAGGAGAGGGTAGTTGGGCTTTGCTCGTGCTTGTGTTGTCTCTTTCTTGTGTCTTGTGGGTGGAGGTCAGGGTTTTGGGCGGAGGGTGTTCTACGAAGACATGGTTTTGGTTCAGTGCTTCGATTCTCTCAATACGGGGCATCTTGTTGCAGTCTTGTATCAGTGCGCCACAGTGAACCCAACAACGCACCATTCAGGAGGAGATGCCTCGCCTTTCGGTTGTCTGAGTCGGGCCTTGAAGTTCCTGTATTCAGGGTGGATGTTCGGCCTCAATGCCCAGCATGTCGGTGCCAGCTGCAGCACAGTATCAGGGAGTTTCACAGATTGAGGTTCTCATTTGCCGAGTTATGCTTTCCTATACCACAGCTCAAGCTTTGAGGAACCCTTGTTTTAAGACGGCCGTACTCCTCAACTTATTGTTGTTGCGCGGCTTCGTTGAAAAAACAGAGCACATCTCCCCGTACAGTGATTCATTTGGGTTACTGGTTCAAGGTTTAGTTCAGAGTTTAATTTAGGGTTACCAAATCACTCTTCAGGGTGATTTGGTTTCTCTGATGGCTGCATTGTTTCCTTGAGCCCAGCCATAAACTTCGCGCAGCAAAAAGCTTAACCCTAAGCCTAAATTCCCAAATGATCAACCCTGTTAAGCCCTATAGGTCCTGGAGAACCCCAACCCTAAGATGAGCCCTAAACCCTAAACCCTAAACCCTATAGGTACTATAGGTCCTGGAGAACCCCAACCTTAAAATGAGCAGCAGGTGGCTCTCGATCCAGAAGTAACGGCTGGCGACCTTCTGCAGACTCAGGCGATGATTGCAGAGGCTGCCCATGCTGTCACTTTAGGGTTTAGGGTTTAGGTTTAGGGTTTAGGGCCATCAAAACCTTACAATCCGAGACCCACGGGGGGGGCCAAACTCGAGTCCACAATACTCTAAACCCCAAACCCTAAACCCCAAACCCTGAACCCTAAACCCTGAACCTTAAACCCTAAACCCCTAAACCCAGTCGTGTTTTTAGGAGGCGGGCGCCCGTAGTGAGCTTCGCAGTTTCAGCTTCCGGCGCTGGAGCTGATCTTTTGTTGTACTATAGGCGCCTTAATAATTACCTATATTATTTTGGGGGTTCCTTATTATAATTCTAGCATAATGGTCCCCAAAGCCCTAGTCTAATTATTAAGGCCCCTACAGTACATGCACACCCGCTGAGCTTCATCGATCTGACCAGTTCCTGCGAGGGGAATCATGGGGTTTGGGGTTTTGGGTTTTGGGTTTAGGGTTTAGGGCTTAGGGTTTAGGGTGGGGTTTACCCTAAACCCGGAGGTTACCCAGAGTAACCCACGATATACCTTTTTAGAAAATGATCTGCCCCTTAAACAATGCGGAGATATTGGGAACAGTTGGGCAGCGCACCAAGACCTCCGAGTTCGACACTAAGGCTCCAAGAATGCAGCTACAAATAGGACTACATTGCTGGGATCTACGAAAATTGCAGCCTCTTCGGCGTTTAGTCTCTTGATTGTACTCCTACTTCTAGCAGCCGCGGCGATCCTTGTAACAGTTGTATGTCGAGTTGGCGAAGATGAAGCTAGTTCAGGCGCAAGGCGCCAAGCTCCAGGATGCGAATCTCGAGGTGCCTGGGAACGTTAAGTTTGTGGTTTTTGTTCTAGAAAGGCTGGATGATTTTGGTGTGATGTTTTAGGATCTTTTAGGATTTGGGGTAGTTCATTGTTTTCGTTTCAGATATCAGGGTTCAGACTCTAGGAAGTTGGGACTGCAGTCACAGGGCATAGGAAGCTAGCCATTGATTCCCCAGATGAGCATGACAGTTACAACCCCAAGCCCTAGGCCCTGAACCTCCAAGCACCTTCAAGTTAAGTCGAAACCCTGCAATATCCTCGAACACCCCAAACTTTCAAGCTGAACCCCCAACCCCAGCACGGAACCCAAGCCTCAAAAACCCTGAAACCCGAGAGAAACGTTGCACAACCCTCTTCTAAGCCGTAAAGGCTGCAAGGGACCCAACAAGAACGATTTTGCATGACCAGAATGTCGCAGATAACCACAGTAGATTCCACAGGAAACAGGCTGTCTGGGTCGATGTGGCTCACGAGATTTGCTAGACACAAGACCTGGACAACCGATTATCCCTAACCCTTTCCCTTATACGGGTCCATGTACCATGGAACCCTAAACCCTAAACCCTAAACCCAAATATTAATATTATGGTATAAGCCGAAGAGAGATTTGAAAGTGCATGTGCAGGAGCCCTTTAAGTTCCAAGTACATCCTAAATTGATGCAATATATTTAGTTTTACAGATCTTATGTAATATAACATAATACATTATACTACAGTATATCCGACCATGTTAGATTATGTTGTAGATTAGGCTAGATTACATTGTCGCATGGACCTCTAGAGTTGGACAGGCACTCTTTGATCAAACCCTACACCCCTACATGAGTATAATAGTGGGGCCTTAATAATTAGAACAGGGTTTTGGGGCCCATGATACTATAGTTATAATAAGAAACCCTCGAACTAGTATTGGTAAATTAGTTACACCCCTACATTAGACATCAACGTCGGTAGATGCTCGGGAGTTCAACCGCCGGGTGAACGCCACTTTATCGTCCTAGGCAGTTCTGCGTTTGGTGTATGAAACCTTCCTAAACCTACAAACTGAAACTCTCTTTGAGTAGGAACTGGTCAAGTACTTGTCTCAATGGAACGGCTAGTCGCCAAGTTTCCGGAGGAAAATGTCCAAATTGGGCGCTGTTTCAATTTATAGTCCCTTACCGGGCAGTTGATATGGCAGAATTACTGACCACTAGAATTTTATGGCTAGGTTGTAAGGTTCAGGGCCCTTGCCACAGGCTCTTCAACCCAACCTCCTTCTTGAAAACCGTGGTTTAAATCCTAGAGTCTTGCACCTAGACCCAGATCCCCTGAACCCGGAAATCGTTCAATTCCAAGCCAAAATCCCGAAACCCTGGCAAGCTCCGTCATCCTATGTGCCGGCATTGCTGCGTCCCCACCACCATCCCGATGCTATCAACCATCGACCCTAAGCTGTACCCCACCCACGGCGGGTACGGGGTTCGCTGCACAACGCACACCGCACGGGCACGTAAACCCCGAGCCTTAAAACAACGCAAGCCCACAAGGTCCTCTGACTGAAGCCTTAATTACAAGCCATATAAAGTCTGATATCGTCGAGTATAATGTTTTCGCCGAGCATATGATAAAGATGTCATACTCGTATGACAAAGTTACAAGAAGATGACATGATATTAGACCAGATCTAAGAGTGGAATATAACATTATAAAATTATAAAATATGGTGTAATATCATACAGCAGAATTAATCATAGTATAAAGTATTAAGATATGATATAATATAATGTAACATACTGTAGTAGACCAGAGGTTAACATAAGATAAGATAGTAGAGTATTTTGTAACATAAATGTTATAGCAGAACGGAATACAATTGAATGCAATATAAGATCGTATTGTATCTATCTATATATATATGTATATGTATACACATAATATATATATATATGAAAACGCACTCAAACATAACACATTGTCATTTACGGAAGCATAATACCAATAATGTGATATAAAGGTTAATACACTATTTGATGTTATGCAGTGAAACATTGCATCTTTTATGCAATACACGACAGTGTATTATCGTATACTGTATTGTATTTTACTATGCTATGTTTTGAAGTTTTGTGTTTTCTTTTATGAAAAATGTTGTATACTATTACCTTATGCTATGTTATACTATATGACACCACATCATGATATGCTATAGCAGACTTACTTCATGTTAAGTTATACCATGACATTGTGGGAAACAACTAATGCAGTCTAAGTTAATATGATGTAATGTAACGTGCATGTATGTATGTATGTATGTATGTATGTATTGTATTGTATGTATGTATGTATCTATGTATGTATGTATGTATGTATGTATGTATGTATAAAGAACATACCTGTACATATGTATGTATGTATATATATATAAGCATGTCTTTAGAAATGTATGTATGTAGAAGTGTGTGTGTGCTTATGTGTATGTGTTTGCATGTATGTGTATGCGTACGTGCGCATGCGTGTGTGTGTGTGTGTGTGTGTGTTTTTGTATATGTCTATGTATATGTACATGTGCAGGTATATGTCTATGCTATGTATATGATTTTGCGTTTGAGTATGTATATGAGTTTGTAAATGTAGATGTGCGTAGATGTAATGTGTATGTAGGCATACATATATACATACAGATATGCACACACACACACACACGTATATGTGTGTGTGCGCATCTATGCATATCACACCCCATATATAGAATATGCATATGGCTGTGTGTATATGTATGAATGTGTGTATGTATGCATGCATGCATGCATGCATGCATGCATGCATGCATGCATTGATGTATGTATGTAGGTATGTATGTATGTATGAGTGTGTATGTATGCATGTATGTATGTATGTATGCATGTATGTATGTATGTATGTATGTATGTATATATATATACACATACTGAAGTTCAGTGATTCCAGCTCTGTCTCAGCGCTCGGGCAAGCTGTCCCTGGTGGACCTGGCGGGCTCGGAGCGTGTCAGCGAGGGAACCCGGTGAGTTTAGGCTTCGGGTTAGTTTGGTGCGTTAAGGGCATCGGGTTCTTCGGCAGTGCACTGATTCTGCATCCGACCCTGGACCCTTTTTGTGTAAGTTCTCCGGATCAGATGCTCTGTAAGGTCGGAGCCACTGTGTGGGCGAAACCCTCGAAGAGGCCAAGAAGATCAACTCTTCGCTGACGGCCCTTGGCAAGGCTCAGTTCGCCACCTGTCAGGGATCTAGACTGTCCATGTGCAGAGATTGAGCGATTTGGAGGGTTCTGTGTTAAGGCATGACGGGTGGAAGGGAGGGACCTTTGCACATTTTTTCAGTTTTGCTGTGTGTATACGTATACACATGCAGACAGACGAATGTATACTTAGCCCTCTTCTCACTCTCACGCATGCTTGTCACGTGCCTGCGTGCACGTTTAGGGGGTTGTGTCACAGGTACTCTCAAACAAGCCACTTAATTAACGAGCTGAAACTACGCAAATATACGCGCACACACACAAATTAGTTTGAGAAGTTGAAAACCATTCGGGTCGCCCTTTTTCAGAGAATACTGCTCGCTTTGTTTAAGATGAATTGGGCGTTACTTGGACCGAGTTGTAGTTTGGCAATACCATGAGTTCCGTCATCCTGTCTACTCGAAACTTATGGTCCACAACCCACTCCATGGCAGGTCATTGATGCATTGGTGGAGCGGCGTGGGCATATTCCGCATCCCTTGCATGACTTACTGGTAGCAGGTTTGGCTGAAGACTCGCGAGTATATCACAGTTAGGTTAGTAAGAATGTGAAGGATTGAACTGTTTGAATGGTCGGACTGCACTTGCTTTGCCCTTCGTGGCGGCGAGGTGGTGTGTGTACATGCGTTGACGTAAGAGTTCCGAGTCAGAGACTACAACCTGGCAAAATCTGGTTTTGCAGAATCTGGTGCAGGTACCGTGACTCGACGCTGACCCGGGTGCTGGAGGAGGCGAGCAGCTGAAGGTATTGAGTAGCCGGGAGTGGAAGACTGCAGACAGTTCGTGAAGAGAGCCTGTCAATTGCATGTACGACCCTGTACGTGGCTTCGCCCTTTACACCCCAGGGTGGTTGACTGTCAGGCGCTGGGTGGCAATTCCCGCACCACACTTCTGGTCGCTGCGTCGGCTTGCGCCAGGGCCTCCAATGCAGTCTGCGGACATGGGGGCTTGAAAAGTGAACCTGAGCCCTGTTACCGAGGCACAGTACCTGGACGAAACCATTTGCTCTCTTCGGTTCGCTTCAAGAGCACAGAAGGCTGCCCTGGTGACCTAACTTGGCCAACAAGCTTGTCCGAAGTGTCCAACAGCCATATTCAAAGCCATGTACATCCACTGCAGGTAAAGTCTCATCCTCCGATGTTGAGAGCGAGAGCTAGAGCGAGACTAGTAACTAGTAAGATTCCCCAGCAGAGCACATCGGCCCGACCGTGAGTAGAAAGCATTACTCAGCCGCAGGCAATTGCTGGCAACTACTGTCGCTGTAGCTGTTGCTTGGTCGTGCAGGTGAGCAATTTTGCCCAAGTGAACTTCGTCTACACCCCGGAAGAACTCCTGCCTCTGGCAACTTGTCCAGCATGTCAGACAAAAGCAATGTTGGAAGCGAGGCAGCCACGGATGGTACGCATCGCTTAACTGGCGAGCGTACTGAGTCCGTATCTATTTAGATTGTGTTCAAAGTCTTGGAAAAATTTCAAGGTAAGCCAGTTGCAGCGTGAGCTTGCTGCTGCCCGACGTGAGCCGCGCCCTCAAGAAGTGCGCAAGGAATCTGCGCCGAAGGGAGCAATATCGTGTTGGAGTTCTGCTGACTTGACTGCATGTCGAGTCGAGGCTGGCGCATCAGACTTTGTCAACAAAGTCGCTCAGCTTGCCGCCCGAAGCTTGGCCTAGCAGGACCTAGCCAGTACCAGACAACAGTGAGTGTCTCCCTGAGCATGCATGTCTCTGAGTGATGGGGGCCTCAAGTCAAATGAATTTGGAGGGGGCATGTGTTCACCGTTGTGAGGCGGGCACGCGCGAGGACAAGCTCTACATGCTCAACAGACGACACCAAGGCATCGGAATTTCGATCTGTTCCAAAGACTTCCTCGATATGCAGCAGCACATGGGGTGTCCGGAAATCAGGGATACCATGGCGGTCCTTATGCTATAGGGATGATGCAACTTGCAGGTCTAAAAGCCGTGGGTTGCTTAGTGATGCTTATGTCACCTCCTTGAGTGCAGCCTTTCCACCCTGAAAGTTTGTTGAGCCGTGCTCGAATGGTTCAGATGGAGTGGAACCCACAGGGACCCATTCGTTCATTCCCGGTCAGACTGTGCGCTCTTTCAGACATCTTGACAATTGCTGCTAGGAGTCGTTTGTCCGCATTCCGTTGCCAAAATGCATTGAGCGTGTCTGGAGCTCAGTTCCGTGGAGGCAGCAGTGTTTCCTTGGCTAGCAGTAGCAAAGCAAATCTGGCCACCTGGCACTGTCACAGAGACGCCACGATGGTGCCCAGGATGTGTCCACCGGCCTGTCACGGCACAGCCTCATTCCCAGAGTTGTGCAGCAAGCTGAACTCGGTAAATGCCCCAGACTTGGGAGTCAGATCGGACAAGCCGCTGCTAGAAGAGATAGCTCTACCACAGATCTCCCACCGCAGTCCCACAGTGCAGTAAGACCCTCTGGTTTCAGGCACGCTCTCGGCCGAGTCACCTCGCTCGGAGCAAAGCCAAGGGCCAAGCAACGTCAAGCACGGCGCTAGTCCTGGGCTTCCTTTCTGCGTTGAAGGCTCGCCAAGTGCACCTCCATCAAGGCTCGAAATGGCTCGCAAGGTCTTCAGTACAACTCAGTCGATAAGACACAGCACAGTCTCTCCAGAGCCGCTGGAATACCCCTAATTATAGACCTAGAAAAGGGTACTGGAAGAAGCAGCTCAACATGACAGGTCGGGCGCCGATGAGTTGGAGGACTCTGTGTCGTCGGAGTCTTGGCGGTCTCCCTGCTCGAACTTCACAAAATGCCAAAGACAGCAGAATGGAGCCAGCCCCTCGAGACCGGACCCCGAGAGCCGCAATGCGGAGTGTCTCGAGTCTTAGAGTCTCAAAGCCTTTTGTCGCGATGCTTGCGAGGCAGAGAGAGCCAGAGAGGGCCAGAGAGAGAGACTCAACCACGATGAGGGAGAGACGGGAGAAGTGGTGGTCGAAAGCGAAGCCGAGACGACCGCAACGGGGACGAAGAACACTGGGGAGTACACTCCTGCGAGTTGCGGGGGAACTTGAAAAAAAGTGGCATGCGACATGGAAGCCCAACGCCTGACCCTCTTCGATACCGACGCCGACAAGAAGCAGAGGGGGGACCTGAGCAGCCCACCTTGAAAGACGGAGACGCCGACACTGACGGGTCGTAATGTGAGAGAGGGAGCTGATGCTGAGCAGTCTCGCAAAGGTGACCTAGCCGCAGATGAGGGGGAGCCAGAAGTGCATATTCCATGCGGTCTTTGTGTACTTGCCCAGTTTGTATGTCCAGCTTTTGCAGTTTAGTGGTTTGTCGTTGTGCCGGCCGGGACCTCAGAGTGCTTACGCTTTCAGTGCAACACAGAGCTGCACCAGGGGGACTGAAACCTGCGGTGGAAATGTACTACCTTACGCTGTTGTTGACGTACTTGCGTTGAAACCGCAGAAAGTACAGTCGCATTTATGCGTGTAGGCCGGCACTCGCCCCGCGGGCGGTACCTGGGGCGGGTCCCGGCCGGGCGCAGTTCGTGCTACGATTAAATTGGGGCACTGTACCCTCCGTATACAGTATTTGTTGATGTTTGTGTGCGAACGCAGGCAGAGCCCCAAAGCCAGCGACTCAACACGAGGCGTGCCTGAGGTACTGGCCGCGGTCCCGAAGCCACACAGAAAGAGAGAAGAAGAGGGAGAGGGGGAGAACGTTTTGCCGCGCCTTGTGCGCAGGGGACGTGGACCACCCCTTAGAAAAAGGGAAAGAGACAGGACCTCAAGCTTTGTTCGTGATGCTGTGGCGGATGTGGGTCTCTGAATACAATCGAAACGGTGCAGCAGCCAATCCTCACTCGTTGAAAAATACAAGGACTCTGGGTGCACAAACACCTCGAGACCAGCCGGCGTGGGTGTTCACATCTGCAGGGTGCTGCGAGTGAGACTCCTGTTTTTTTGGCGTCCTAGCAAGGGAAACAGACCTCAAGTCCACTGCAAGAGACCACGAGATACTGTAGGGGATGTGGTGCTTGCAGACGCCTCAGGCTGTCGCCACCCCGGCCTTCCAGTGAGGTACCGCACTCGGGCTCGTGTGATTCATGGGGTGTTTTGCTGTGGCATCCCGCGAGCCTCACAAACTTGGCGCGTTTGGCAACGTCTGGTGACCAAGTCTGGTGTATCTCGGGGCCTTTGATGATCTTTGATGTGTAGCACAACGTGCAGCGCCTGCCTAGGCATTGGCGCAAAGTGCTGCTGAAGCTCTGCGATGTTTGGAGGAGATGCTCCTAGCACAAGAGGAGGTGGGCCCTTCCGGATAGAACTTGGGCCTGCGACCTCTCGAAGTCCTCATTCAAGAGTTGGCTGGAAAGTTGTGCAGCGTGATTGCATGAGACCTCATTCGTCACAGCCCTGTGATGTCACACACTTAGGATTCGTCTCTTTGTAGGTTCCTGAGAAGTAGAATGCAGGATTGTCGAAGTTCTCACTGCAGGCATTGGAGAAGGCCCACCTCCTGAGTGTGAATCGGGAGGCGCCATGTGGGACGCAGCAGTGGTCGCTTGCAGTTGAACATGTTGCCCCGATTTGTTGGGATCCTCACAGCCCTGCCCTGTGCACCAGAAGTGCTATGTTGATCGACAAGAAATGATGAACAAGACTTCGTGTTCACGGACTGCCTAATGTGGTATGTCACAAGCTCGAGGCACGACCGTCCAGGCAGACGAGCTGCAGCCACATGGCCGTAGAGTTGCAGTGGAGGTGCCAGGTTAATTTTTCCCAGGCATCGTGTTGCACATGCTATGCCAGTCCAATGCTTAACTCCTTGACGGACAAGAAGCTCAGGTGATCCGGCATCGCAGAGCCCTGTGAGCCCAATCAGTCGAAAGACGGTGACGTCAGCAGGATCAGATGAGCTCGACCTCAAGGACAGCAGCTCAAGGTGTGTTGGGGTGTTCGCATTACGGGTTGCTTGTCCAGGCATTGGAACCTTGTTCGGGCTCGGATCAGGTTCCACCGCAGGCCTTGAGGATGGCAGCACATTGGTGGTAGACGCCTTGATGACAACATGTGTTGTTCAACTGTTGCGATGTTTTCGTCGAGAAGTTTTGCACTCCTGACAAGCCGGCAAAACAGCTCCTGCTCCTAGCTTCCGGTTTGTCGGTTCGCAGCGGCGCCTGGAAGGTTGCAAAAACATCGCCACACGAAATGCTTTCTGACTCCATACCGATCGCAAAATTAACACCTAGGAGCACGGGCGAAGTGCGGAAGCGCAGGACGGGCGCGCTCCTCTGAACTGCCCCTGGAGCTCCGAAGGAGAAAATGTCCTGAGCTCAGATCAGCTTCCGGGAGACCTGGAGGTTCAACGACAACCGCAACCATTGCTGCCTGCCCATAGGCTCCATAGTAGTTCCTTTTTGTGGTTTGTATGTAGGACCCTATAAGGTAACCCCAAAAAGGAACTACTATGGAGCCTATGGGTGAACTCTATCCCGAGAGGCGATGCGCTGAAGCCCTGTTGAATCGCCTTGCCGTGAAGGCCTTTGCATTGCGATGGCGCTGTTTGCGACATGCGGTGGAGGCTCGGGTATGACTACATCCTTACGTGATGTACTAGTGGACCATGTAGAGGTATGTATTGGCATGCATTCAATAGGCGTCCACGTCCGACACATAAGTATAAATTGTAATGTAGACAATAGATTTAGAAATAAGTGCAAAAAGTAAGACACATTAAAAAAAGAGCGTATGTATGTATGTGTGTATGTATGTATGTATGTATGTATGTATGTATGTATGTATGTATGTATGTATGTGTGTGTGCGCGTGTGTATGTGTATGTGTTTGTGTATGTGTATATGTATATGTATGTGTAGGTATGTGTATATATATATATATGCGGATACATAAATGCATAGCAGTCAAGGAATGAAGGATTGTGTGCAGAGGCTTAACATGGTGACTCGAGTAGGCCTTTGCACAAAAGAGAACTGGTCAGTAATTACTTCAGTTAAGTTTTCCTATGCTCCTGTGCCGCACATGATAAGTATACCCCACTCTCTGCAAACTCGGCGAAAGGCGAGGGCACTGCGCTGGCGATTGCAGCGCCCTTGCCTCATGTTGAGCAAGGCTGCAGGCCTGATAGGCTTAGGCCGCTACATCATATTGAGACAGCAGGTGCTGCAGCATTGCATTCCACAGAATTTGGCTGTCACATCCAAGGCCAGTTCACGGCACATGAAAGTTTCCGTGAAAGGCGAACGTCACCGCGCGGAGAGCGTGCAGTACGAGCTTCAGCTGAGGCCTGGTCACTGTAGCTGGCTGCAGGTCTTGTGCCCGCATACCAGCTCCCAAAAACAGTCATGGGTCACCAGCACTTTGCAAAGCAAACTCCTGTCTATGTGATGAAGCCTTCGCCTGTGAGGAATCGCTACACCTCAGACCTCGAGAGAAGACTAGAGGCTGGCGTGATGTTTCCTGTGATCTTGAGTAGAGTTGGCGGCAGTCAGCAGCTAAAGTTGATGCAACTCTTTCAAGAGCTGGCAGTACTCAGCCTGACTGCGTAAAGCTAGACAGCTTGATGAGAGCTGCAAGGAGCAACGTATGAATAGGGGATCCTTTGGTGGATTCGACTTCTTCGAAACCTCCAGTTCACATCGCCCCTCTCCACCTTATTAGCAAATCCTTATGGCCTGCTTATGGCACCCCTTACAATCCTTGTGCTACGCACGTCTAGAGCACGTCTAGAACCCTCATAAACTTCCATCACCGGCCCTACGTAAACAGAGCCGTTTTTGTCGAGGCAGCCCAGGCAGAGCTCACTTTGCTGCGGGCTCCGACAGATGCGTCCGGCTACGAGCTGAGTTTTATGTCATGTTTTTAGGGTTTTAGGGGATTGAGGGGGTTAGGGCTTCGGGTTTAGGGGGTTTTAGGGTTTAGATGGTTACGCAAGGGTTTCGTTGTTGGCTTTGAGTTTCAGGATGATGCAGCGAGTGAAGCTTCAGCTTAGGAGGTAGTTTACAAAGATCGCTGCCTCAGGTTCTGTGGGTTTGAATTCGCAATTCGTTCCCTCGAAGCAGGTAGGATGATGCAGACTGTCAATGGCTGATCTTGCATCCGGGGTCGCCCCTCGCAGTCCAACGGCCGAACTTAAGTCATTATACTATATATTACTATACTAGATTATAGTATACTATACTATATCATACTATACTATACTATACTATACTATACTATATGATATTATATTACGTTATATAGTATATTTTACTATACTATATGATATTATATTACATTATATCGTCTATTTAAAGGCCTTCTGTGGCCCAGGTCTTGAGAGGCGGTGCGACTCACCGACTAAGCGGCGGCTGCAGCCTCGGAGACGAGAGAGAAAAACTCCTTTGGTTTGCGTCTTTGGGTTTAGGGTTTAGGACTTTAGGCTTTTAGGGTTCAGGGTTTAGGGTTTTTTTTTCGGGTT